ATGTTAATGTTTTTTATTTTTGTTGAACCGGATCATGTTACGTAAGGTGTCGTCATTGGAGTTATACTTTTGTGGCCACTTATGTAGTCTAATCCGGATGTTAAAAGTTTTGTTTTAACAATCAAATGTTTGCCCAAGTGGGAGAGGATCTTCATGTTTAGACGAAGCTCAAGTGGAAAATGGAGATTATGGACCTTTACATGGTACAGCAATTTGAAGAAGCTGGACTGTACGATGAGATGATGGCCATTGTTTACATGAAGCTAGAGCTAAAAGAAAGGCCCGTCAGATGAAGCTCCAATGGAAGATGGAGATGATGTTAGCCGTCAAAAAAATCTCCCTAGAGTAGACAATGGCAATCGAATGAAATTTGGTGACGAAGCAGTCTCCATTTGCCAGAGCTATCGCTAAGGTTTCACCATTTAGGAAAACAATTACGCGTAGAATTTTGGGGTATCCTTGTGGGTCCTTATTTCTTTATTCATTTCATTTTACACTACTCGTTTCTTTTTCTTTGCCAGATCAGCCGATTTCAAAATCTTGTCATCTATGTTGTTAACATATCTTGTACAACCAGCATAATTGTAATCTAGAAAAGGGGACTGATTCACACAAATAAGGAGAAATTAATAAAAACCGAGAGAGAGAGAGAGAGAGATGTGTGCGTTGATTGGAGAAGAAAAATCTACAGAATTAGGAGTGCGTAAGTTGGATTAGGGTAGTGTAAAGAGAGAATTTGTTTAGAGTTATGGTGGAATTGGGTTTCCTAAATTTCATAAATAATAATATCTTATAAATATATGAAATAATATTTTTTTCCACCTGATTTTTGAATTTTTTAAATTTTGTTAAATATGAAATTGTATACTTACAGTATTGTAGTTATGTATTTTTCCTACCTAAATAGCACTATATGCATATAATGACCATCACCCTTCTTTACAAGATTTTAAGCGCCCATAAGCAATGGATCTCAAAGAATATGTGATTAAAAATAAATAAAAATTATCGTGGGTCTTAAAGAATATCTAGTTGAAAATAATAATTGGTCAGTTTATAAACACTTTAAAAGACACTGCAAAATGAGCGAGTTCTTTTTATGACTCAATTTTGAGTATCTTTTGGAAAAAAATTTGGTAAATTAAAAATTATTCCTACTACTAATCATAAATTCAAAATTACTATTCACTATTATCCACCAATTTCATACTATTAGTATTCCTTCTAAAAAGAGCTAATAATCTTTTATGAAATTGAGGCTTTGTGAACACTTGCCCCCTTTTACCGGCATTGACTGATAATGAGTTTTAGTGAGTGATTAAGAAGAAGAAAATTAAGAAATTGAATTCGGAATGGCTTGCATAAAATTAAAGGAGAAATAAAAAGGATCTACGGAAATATGCATAACTTTTAGCTCAAGTGTCAGATTTAAGGGAGCGAGTACATTCCATAAATTTTATTTCAATTTTCCCTATTTTTGTCGAGTTACATTTGCATCTAACTTTTGCGGTCAAATTCCATTGTTTAAAGGTTTATTTCAGCAAATTTTTTGTGTGTGTTTGAGTTAGTTTAATGGTATTTTGGTCATTTTAACAATTTTTGAGTTTTACTCAAATTTATGTATAGAATTAGAAATTCGTTTTGATTAGAATTTGTTTTAACTCTTGAAATATATGTTAGGGGTTTGAAATCCTACTGACATTTTGGGATAATAATATTACAATTTTTCTTTAATTAGTGGATTCGTTCAAATAAAATTCGAGCAACACCCATTCGTGTGTTACGAGCAAGACCATTCTTATTATTATTCACGTTCCCGTCATATGCCAGTTTAATTTGCCCTATTCAATTTAGAATTTGATCATGCCATCTCTTGAATATATATTCAACTCATCATTTAAATTTTAAGAAAAAATAAATTGAAGTATACAAATTAAAACAAAAAAGCTTTGCTTTAAGTTTTGAGATGTCTGTAGCAATAAATTTATATATGAGAAAATTGTATTCCATGTCACTTTTTGGATTGCCATTTACAAAATGTCACTTAAGAACTTTTTGTCCTTCTAAAATTTTAAATACCTTACATATTTTTCATTAATTTTTTATTTGAATATTTAAAAAAATTGTAACAAAAAATTGAAAACATTGCACCAAACCCATCCATACCCCAACCCCACAATCCAACCCCATTGCTGAAATTTTCTCTTATTCTTTCTCACATCGTCCTCCTCCACTTACCTAAAAATGAACCCTAAACCACGCTGCTTCCATTATAGATAAAACACCCCACCCCACAGTAACTGTTCCTCATTTCCACTTCTTTCTCAAGTGGTTGATATTTCTTTCCATAGCATGTGCCAAAATTGACAGAGGACAAGTAGTATCCATGAAAGCAACTCGGGTAAGAAATTGACTCGATTTTCTTCTCATTTCTAGCATAAGGAATGTTTATCTCCCATTGTTTCAATAAATAAGGTTTAAGATTTTTGAATTTTTTAATATTATTTGAAAATGTTGGATTTTTGGCCAAAATTGTATAACTTTTTTAGGAAGTTGTATTTTTATCTTTAATAGGAAGTGTATCTGACTCAAAATTAGAATATACATGTCCATTGTGGTTTATTTTCTTATGAATTAAGTCATTGTGGGGTTTAGGGTGTGCTTGGATGTAGGTTGAATTTATGGTTTATTAGAATATACACTTTCACTGTCGTTTATTAAAATATACATGTTCATTGAAGGTTTAGCAGTGTAGGTTGAATTTGTGGATAGATATGATTAATTTTTTGCAATGTGGTTCAATTTGTTGATTCATAGTTTAGGTAATGTGGTTCATTCTATTGTCATTATATGGTTTATTCTTTGTTTTATTCTATGGTTGATTCAATTTGTTGTAATGTGATTCATTCTATGGTCATTGTGGATTATAAAATCTTATTCATGTTTGCACCTAGAGAGTTTCTATAAAGTACAGGTGAAACATCTGCAAAGAAAATCAGTCATTCTCGACAGATAGTTACTGGATTTCTCGACGGATGGTTATTAGATTTCTTGATAGCTTGAATAATAGTTATAATATAATGAAGACGTGCTTCAGTTGCTTTACTGCGTGTCGTACAGATTCACTACATGTTAAATCATCCCCTGACATTAGAATATTTTTATTTTAATGGAGTTACAGATGGATTTCGAGTTCTCTAAACTAAGAGTGGCCGGAAAAAATGGAATAATAGTATGTCATAGAACTTCATTGACTCGGACAATTATGTGTTACTTTATTGTGTAGCACGTCGAACTATTCAGATATCATTTATAAGGAATCGTTTATAAAATATATCAGATGATCAATGATACTATCACTAAATTCTTTTTTCCCAATTTAAATGATGTTTCTAGCCAATTATCTCAATCACTGAACCATGAAGTCTGATATTTTTTATTACATTGTTCCTTATGAAGATGAGTCTTATAATGATGAGTTGATTCATAAGTTTCCACTGCCTGAGGTTATTATCATATGTACGGACGATATGGATGATGAAGTTTGTGGGAGCGAAAGTTCAAATGTCGACAATGCTTAACATAGGCAAATGATGCTTCATGTTATCGACTATATTTAGTTTTTTACTTTATCGAATATTATTTATTAATATATAATTGTAATATTGTGTATCCGACCAATCTTTATGCTAGAATATTTTGTCTAGTTTACTACTTAATAGTTCACAGTTAATGAAATCTTATGTTATGTCAAAAGTAAAACCTTTTTTGTACACGAATAAAAGCTACAACGGTACTAACACGAAAACGATAATATAATATAAACAATGAACATCATCATTGTAATGTACAATATAAAACTTCAAGCACTAAACATCATTAATTTTACGTACTCGGTGTTGGAACGGAGTTCGAACATGTGGCCCAATTGTGCTCAACTCGCATCCATGCGACATGATGAATCTTAGATTGGTATGCATACCCGAAAATTATAGATATCAATGATGGCATTCGGCACAATTCATATATCGGACTTTAATATCATGTAAGTGGCACTTACGAATAAATTATACAAAATAGTAGCAAATCAGTGTGACTAACAATTCAAATGTCTTCACATTCTAGTTCAGTTGAACTGTTGATATTTACTTTAAGCATCGATGGGAAGTATTTAATGGGTGGGGTTTGATTGGAATACATTTTTATTAGCATTAAGTATGTATATAAATGCTCATATACCAAATGACAAAATATTCACAAAAAAATTACATAATGCTTTATTAAATAGAGAATCCCTAACAAGATTTTTTGGAAGATATTGCTATCTTTATTCAAAAAATTTTGCAAAAACAATCCAAATGAATAATAATTTGCAAATTAATATGAGCGCGTTGTAATTAACAATTCTAAACTAGTAAGTTATAAGATAAAAATATTAAACAATTTATAAATGCTAACACTTCAAAATAGAAGATGAATCCAAAATTAATATCTTCCTCCTTGTTATTACAATGG